CTACCTTTGGTTTATCCTTCCTCCTCAACTTTGTTGTTTCCCTGTTCCATGTTTTTCTTGTTGATTTTTTATTTTGAACTAAGACATCAGAAAATCAGAGTGGGTATGTGTCAGATTGAGGGAAGACATGCCATTGCAAAGCAGGGAGAAGGTGAGCCAAATTGATGTGTTGATGTTCTTTGGCTTGCAGGCAACATCTTCTAGGCTTGCTAAGCCAAAAATGAAAACCCCATACCAAATCTAGCAAAACAAAAGACAAAGGCTTGTTTTTCTTTTTCTTTTTTTATGTCTTTTGTTCGATGTGACATCTTCATCTTTTTTTATACTTTGCTATGAAGATTGTTGATGAGGTTGAATGTTGTAAAACTTCATTGCCAAATTAAAGATTTGTTGACTTCCTTCTATTTTATCTCTCTTCTACATTATTGTTTTTGAGATTGGAATAGGGAAGAAGAATGAAGAGGAATAAAAGATTGATATGATGGGAGTTTTGGTGGGATAAAGAAGGTTTGGAAATAGGAAGGAAGTTGTATGGAGTGAAATTTAAAATTTTTTTTAAAACCAGTCTAGTCTAGTAGACTAGTTTTTAGCCTGAAAGACCAAACTTAGTTTGGTCTACCTTGATTTGTCTTAGACCAAACCAAACCTTAGGTCACAAAATCTAGCCCAGGTAATTTTTGACCAGACCTTAGGTTAAGGCTAAACCCAGTCTGGTTCAATCTTTGTGTAGTCCTACTCAAAAGCTTTACACATCATAATCTCATTACTAGTAAACCTTTCCTTGCTTCAACTGAATGCTATTTAACTTGTCAATACAATTGATAAAAAATGTTGTTTATGTTGTTAGGTTAGCTTATGAGTTGTTTAATCCTTAAATTAAAAATGTTCATCACAGGCTAAAGTGGATAGAAATTAAACTATCAAATAACTAGTGTTCAACCCTATGCAGTGCAGGATGCTTAAACAATAAATTAGATACACTAGAATTTATCTTTCTTTATTTTAGGCACTTATAAGCCTCTCTTAGAATTTATAATTCTTAAGCATGATTCTCCTTCAAGTTAGAGCTTTTAGTCACATAAAGATTAACATATGTTTAGTGGCATATGGCAAAACACATTTATGTAGCAAGTAATACTAGTTCGTGATTATATATCATAGGATTAACAAATTCAAACCATATTTCATATTATGAAAAGCTAGGTTCTTTAGGACAACCCACAACACAGTTAGTCACCTTAAGTTTCCTTTCATGAACCGTGACAGCGTTGAAATCCATGGTGATTGTATCTCCTCTTTCTTTGCTATTTCTTTATTATTTAGTGGTCTCTTATGAACCTACAGTAATGGTGGTATGTTGAAATGCAGCTTGCTCAATAAACTAAAGGCATTTGATAAACTGTGACCAAATTGGAATGTATGTTGACTATAACTCTGAATTTCTTGCTGTAATTTACTAAAAAATCAAGATTACATGATAGTATCCTCTAAACCTAAGTAGGCTAAAGACGACTTGCAAAATTCCCGAATCAATTACATGTGACTGTCTTCTACCAAAAATATAAAACCATTATGTATATCAGATTCACAATAGTAATTTAGTGAAAATAGAAAAAAGTTTTTCATATCCAAAAACGATATTACGGTATGCATCACATCTTATGCTAAAACATTGGCACTTAAAAATATGAGGAAAAGAGATCATATATCTATTACAACGACCCTAAAAATAGCAGAAAATAAACATGAATTACCATTCAAAAATGAAATCGCTTGGGAACAAAAAAATTAAAAGATGAAGCCACAAATCGGATCAAAACATGATGGCTATTGTTGAGTCCCCACTTAATAAATACAAGGGAGTTGTCAAGAAGAGGCTATGCCAAATAGAAGAGAAGGATTAGGGTTCTATATTGTTCTCTTGTGTCTTTTTCTCTCTCATTTTTTTTATAATTTTATAAGTCAAAATTTTCTTCCACATCAGATTAAAATGCTCTTGAGTTATTCACTTGTGATTGGTAAGACCACAAATGAAGTGGCACACTAGGTTCGTACAAGAATTTCTCCTGAAAGCATGTCCCTTGTGGTGTGTTTGGTAAGAGGAAATCAGAGGGGAGGAAAAATTTTAATAGGCTCGATTTGAAAAATTGAAGAAGTGCGGTTAAAAGTTTTAAATTAATTTTTCTTAATCTTTTATTGTACATATTTTCTTAATTAAAATTTTATAACCTCACTTCTTTAATTTTTTAAACCGAACACATTAAAACTTTTCCTCCCATTCCTTCTCCTTCATTTCATTCATACTAAACATAGGGTTATGATTTTTCTAGTGGTGTCTCTTTAATTTTCACCTTTGCTGCAAAATAGGAAGAAAAGTAATTATGATTGGATTCTTTTCACTACTTCGTTCATTTTCTTTCTTCAATGATTTTTAAGCTCAATGCTACTATTTCTAGAACCACAAGGAAACAAAAATATTAAGGGGGTGTTTGGATGAAACCAAACTATAGTTTGAAGAATAGCTTATGGAGAATAGATTCTAGGAAGAATAGATTTTGTGAAAAAGTGATTTTGACAAGTGAGAGTGTTTAGATAGTTGTTATCAGAAATACTTTTTATATATACAAATTACTAAAAAAAAGTATAAGTTAATATGATAATTACATAAAAAATAGATTTTATGATATATTTTAATTTAAAGCAATAAACTTGTTAATAATATATTTTTTACCAACATAATTAATAATACATAAGATAATGTAATTAATAAATAATTAATATGTGTATATATTTATAAGATATAAGATTAAATATGTTTATAAAAAATAATCGAGGGATGTTAAAATCATATTATTGTTGAGATCTATTCTGACAGGCACAATCATACTCTTTAATTTGAGTCAGAAGCAGAATGGATTCACTTCTCTTGAAACCATGGTTTCAGATTATTGGCCCAAAATTGATGCTGTTTAGGTGACATCCCACCCAAACCATGGTTTTGGGAGTCACCCAAACAGGCACTAAGATTTATTGGCTGAGGTTTTGTTTTAAAAAAATGAATTTTAGTTTTTTAGTGAATTTTAATTTTGAAAAATTAAAAAAAGGGTTTGTATAGGCTTTAAATATTCTCAATTTATAAATATGAAGGCCTTAAAGTCTGTAAAAAAAAAAAACTACATTTATGTAAGCCTCAACAGGCTCAAAGCATTTATAGCGTTCAAGGCCTAAAATGAGAGGCATTGTTCAAGGCCTTTATTGTAGGTAGGCCTCATAAGGCTTAGACCTTAGTCTTAAAAAAAAATCCAGTATACAGGATAGGGCTTAAGCTCAAGCTTATTTGACCAAGGCCTAATCTATTTTCATGTCTATATACACACACCAAACAAATGACAAACAACTAATATTCAAACAAAAGCCTTAACTATAAAGAAGTATAAAGAATTGATAAGTTTCAACGATTTCAAGTCTCAAGATTTGACATGCACCGGGTCATTGGTCAAAAAACTTTTTAGAAGCACTTGTAAGCAAAAGTGGAAGGAAAATGCAATTAAAGGAAAGGATCCGACTGATTCCTTTATGCAAAAAATGCTTTCTTGTGAGAACCAGATGGAGATCTCCCTTACCATTCAAGAGGTGACAAAGATTACAACCATCATGAATTCTATGTCAAGGAAAGTGGCTAGGGAACTGGCCCAGGAAAAGCTTCCTGGGCAGCCATGAGGATATTAAGTTGGAACTGTTGTGGCTTCAGGAAGGCCACGACAGTTCATAGATGCAAGCAGCTTTTTTTGAAACACAAGCCTGATTTTCTCTTTCTTGCATAAACTAAGATTAGTATTGATGTTGCTTGCTCTTCTCTTGAGTTTAGGACTTGGTAATTTTTCAGGTACTGATGCTGTCTCTAAGGGTGGGGCAACTTTTATTACTTGGTCTGACCTGTTCAATGTTGAAATTGTGATTAATCCCCCTTCTTTTGTCATTGTTTGATTAATGGAAATGATACCTTCCCTTCCTGCTCCATAACTTTTGTTTATGGCCCTCCAAGATCAAACCTAAAATATGTGCTTTGGGATTGGATAAAGAATACTTGTTGCTCTGTTGGCCTACCTTGGCTCATTTTAGGTGATTTTAACCAATTTCTCTCTGCAGAAGATAAAAATGGAAAGGTTGGTTCATCTTCAAACATCGCCAACTTTATTGATTGTTTGAATAATGCGTAGTTGATCCCTACTACTCAACATGGGCCTTCATTTACCTGGACTAACAACAAAACTGGTCCAGATTTTGTTTTGGAACGATTAGACATGGCTTTTTGTAATGTGCACTGGCTACAAATCTTTCCTTCATCTTTTGTTCTCACTTTACCAATTGCTGCCTCAGATCATAGTCTAATTGTTTTCAACACAGAAAATATTCTAGTGAGGAAAAAGTTGTATAGATGTGAAGAATACTGGTTTCACTTCAATAAATGCAAGGAAATTGTAAGAGCATGTTGGGGTGCCCATGTGTTGGGATCTCCCACCTTCAAGGTGCATAATAAACTTTGTAGAACATTAAAATCTCTCTCAAGTTGGAGTAAATACAAGATTGGCAATCTTTCTCATCAAATTTCTACTACAGAACAAGCTCTTCATACTATTTCCTTAAGATTAGGTTGTCCATCTTTAGACTCAGAGGATTTCTCTTAGAAATTTCTGGCTGCAAAACATGAGCTTGACTTTCTTCTTGATTGTGAAGCAAGCTACTGGGCATAAAGGGCAAAGTTGAAATGGTATAAAGAAGGGGAAAGTAACGCTAAATACTTTCAAACTATAGTTAATCGAAGAGCTGCTCATAATAAGATTAGGGCATTGGAAGACAGCCAAGGCAATTGAACCTCTGATATTAAGGAAATATCTGCAATGGCTGATCAACATTTTAGCTCAATCTTTAGGAAGGATTAGAAAGTTCCTATTGACGAAATCCTTGCAGGTTTTTCTCATATCCCAATACCTACTTTAATGGACTTAGATGTTCAAAAGCTTATGGCCCAGATTTCAAAAAAGGAAGTAAGAGAAGCTGTTTTTCATCTTCCTAAGGAGAGTGCACCTGGATCAGATAGATTCCATGCAAGTTTTTATCAAAAGCATTGGGACATAGTAGGTGAGGATATCTTCCAAATGGTACTTCATTTTTGGAATTCTGAATTTCTGCTTAAGAGTTTGAATAAAACTTTCATCGCCCTTATTTCCAAAACTGACAAGCCTCAATCTTTTAAGGATTTTCATCCAATTAGCCTGTGTAATGTATCTTATAAAATCATTTCAAAGGTTTTAAGTAACAAGCTAAAAGGGGTTTTGGACAACATCATAGCCCCTAATCAGTGTGCTTTCCTCAAGGGTTGTCTAATATCAAATAATATAATACTAGCTATGGACTTAATCTCACATATTCATTCTTCAAGGGAAAGAAGAAAGAAAATAACAGCTCTTAAGATTGACTTTGCTAAGGCTTTTGATAAGCTTTGTTGGGACTTTGTGTCTGCTATCATGATCAAAATGAATCTTCCTACCAAATGGGTTAATCTTATTAGACAGTGTTTGTCAACAGTGGAGTATCAAATTCTGCTTAATGGATCTCTCTCTGCTTCAATTACTCCAACAAATAGCATACGGTAAGGAGATCCTCTCTCGCCTTTTACTTATATTCTCTCTGCAAATATTCTTTCATGCATGATTAGTCATTTGGAAGCTAGTAAGTCATGGAAGGGAATCAAAATTTGTCAGAAGGCACACCCGATTACTCATCTCTTTTATGCGGATGATTCTCTTTTTTTTCTTTGAATGTGCTCCAAAGAGCCTCACTTCTGTCAAATTGATCTTGAATATGTTTTGTTATTGGTCTGGCCAGGAATGTAATAAGTCCAAATCTTTCTTAATCTTTAGCCTCAATATGCCTTACAGTGCTAAGAGTATCTGGTCCAAATATCTTGGATTTTCATTTGAATCTAAATTGGGAAGGTACTTGGGCACTTGGATTGATTCAGGTAGAGGCAAGACTCAAATATACTCTCAAGTGTTAAATGCAGTGAAGCATAGAATTGCTAATTGGCAGACAAAACTTCTATCTCAGGCCTCAAGACTGGCTCTTATCAAATCAGTGCTTGCGGCTGTAAATATTCATGTCTTTTCTTGCATCAAGATACCAAAACACATATGTGAGCAAATTGACTCCTATTGTATCAATTTCTCCTGGGGATCCACAAACACTAAGAAGAGGGCTCATCTTCTTAGGAAAGAGGAAATTTTTAAACCAGTAGAACAAGGGGGCTTGGGATTAAGGCCTTTGGCAGTTATGAATAGTGCTCGTTTGGCTAAACAGGTTTGGAGAATTTTAACTTCAGAAGAACCATCACTATTAGCAACATCTTTGAAAATCAAATACATTGATATTGCTTCTTCTGATTTGATTAAGGTACCTTATAATGCATCATGGATATGGAAAGGTATCTCTGAAAGTATGGAACTTATAGTATCCAAACTGAAGTGGAAAGTTGGTAATGGCAAATCCATTCCTCTTAATCACTGACTATGGTGGCCAATGCAGCAAGATCTAGCTGACATGTCGAATGTTCGATATATAGCGGATCTTTTAGTGCATAGAAACTCCTCTTGGAGTAATGTTGAGTGGAACTCATCCTTGATCTATCAACTTTATCCTAGTTCCTCAGCTTTAGCCATTATGTCTTCTCCTCTCTCTTTCACAGATACCTCAGATAAACTGGCATGGAAAGGAAATTCCTTGGGTATATATAAGGTAAAAGATGGAGCTTCCATTTTAACTAATGGGGATATTGTAGTTTTGGATGATTTCTAGAAATTCATTTGGAAATTTCCTTTGCCTCAAAAGATGTTGCTTTTTACTTGGAAATGCATTAAACATGCTATCCCTTCTTGTGATGTATTGAAGGCTCATCACCTTAATATTTCTGGCTTTTGCTCTGTTGGTTGTCGAATGGAGGAGACTTTAGAGCATCTTTTCATATCCTGTCCTTTCTCTAGAGCTCTATGGTTTGGCTGTCTTAACATAAAACTACACCATGATAGTTTTCAACAGCTTATTATTTGGCTAAAGAATACTCTCCCTACTCTAGTCAAGGATGGATATGTTAATGTTGCTTGCGGAATTATCTATGTTTTAAATGCTATCTGGTAAAAGCAAAATTTAATCCTACATCAAGGGAAGAAGGTATCTTTAATTGCTACTATCACAGAGATACATGGCACACTCTTTATCTCAGTTAGCCTTTTTTCCTCAGTCTGATATGAATAATTACAAATCTCCTGTGCAATCTGTTTTGAGCAAAGACTTCCCAATTCAGAAAGGATGGGATATTATTCTATATAAAGTGAAGAAACAAAGAACTACTCACTGTCAGGGAATTATATGCTTCAATGGAACAGCATTACAAGAATTTCTATGGTGCAGCGAAAATTAACTATGAGCTGCGTGCAAAAACGTTTCATCACAATTCCACCTAAACCTCCTCTCTCTGTTGATCCACCCTGGAAAGACATTTTTTTACTTTTATCTTGTGTGAAGCGTTATAATACTAGAGTAGTTCCTCTTCCTTTGTTTTTCAATTTTTCTTATGAATCTTGTAGGTTTGTATCGTTTGCGATGATGTAATCTTCTTTGATTTAATATCATTTTGTCCTTTTACAAAAAAAAAAAACAAAAGAATTGATAAGCAAGTTGGAAATGATGGACATTTATTTCCCAACTTGAGGAAAAGTGTTGTAAATAGGACTTTAAGGCCAATAGGTCAAGCCCAATAGTTATTTAGTTTAATAATTTGTTATTTAAATGTATTTGAATGTTATCTATTTCTCATTTATTTATATCAAGATTAGATTAGATTACAAGGTTAAAATATAACTTTAACAATTAAGTTTTGCTCGAAAAGCATCTGGCACCAATAAATTTTAAAAGGTGCAAAATTAGATACAAATTTTAAAAATTGGAGCGATTTTCTTACAGGCATTAACAGACTAAACGTCCATCTATTTTAAAGTGGGTCCTACTTGTTTTTTCTCCTTTCTTTGTCCTAGTCAATCTTCTTTCTCCTCATTAATGTTCTCTCCTCTTTAGCTGCCACCAATAGAAATTTCTAGATCCTCTTCTTTCCCAACACAAAATCCCTCTCTTAGTCTCACTTCATTGACCCCTTATTTGGCTGGTGCAATTTTTTAGGAGTGGAGGGGAGCAACTCCCCTCCCCTTATTTGGTTAAGATATTTTTTTAAAGAGAGAAGGGCCTCTTCTCCTCTCTTCTTCCCTTCTAGCCTCCCCTCCAAAAGTGGGATTTTTTGGAGGGGAGATGAGAGATAATATTTTAATTCTTTATATACCCTTTCGATTTGTTAACCCCTAATCAGTCGTAAACATTTCTACATAAGAGAGTTCTTTTGAATATCTAGTAAGAGGTTGCTGAGATAATTGTTTCTAAAATTAGTGAGCATTTGTGAACCGTTTTTTCTTCTTTTCTTCTAATTCCAAGAGGCCGTCGACATTTTTTTTCACCTTCAAGGTCTTTTCTCTGATTAAAATCTATCACTCACGACTTTTGTTCTTGATATCCTATAAGTGTGTGACTGTGTCTTGTAAATCAAAATTGGTGAATTGCATTATATATATAGTTGTATCTTAACAAAACAAAAAAGTGAGAAAATTCATTTAAATTTTATGAGGTTAAAATAGTCAATTTTTTATTAGAGAAAAATAAGGTATTATTAAAATTGCTCCATCCCCTCCCCTCCCCTCAAATCAATCCAAACAGGAGATCATTAAAATCTCTTCCTCTTTTCTCCCTCCCTCCCCTCCCCTGCTCTCCCCTCCCCTCCTTTTTGTACCCTTCTCCTTCCCTCCCCTCCTCTTCTTTGATTAAAATCCCTCCCTTCTCCTTTCCTCCATCGAGCCAAACACAATGTAAAAGACATTAGCATGACAGCTTAAATTTTCCTATTCTATTTCCAAGGCCTTCAACTTGAAGCCTTTTACTTCCAGGCACACTAACTCTTTTCATCCTTATGTCAAGGACCTCACTAAGAGTGTGCTGATGCCACCAAAATTTTAGGCTTGACACTTGCCTCCTCTACTCTCATTGTCTCTATATGTTTCCTTCTTTTTCATTCATTCATTTTTTTGTAATTATGTCCAACCATTAATGGCGAAGTTGATTCATTCACCTTCAAGCTTAGCAAGTACAATGTCAACAAGCTAGTTCTACGTTGGGCCCGTGTCCTTCATTGTGAAATTCGAGGGTGTTAACAAGAATGTCCTGCTTGAGTTCCAAAAAAACCAAGCTCATGACTTGCCTCACTTACACTCTTGACAAGATTGAAGTCCTCTTCGAAGCTTCTGAAGATGGCTCCAACAATTTTGAGGAGAGAGAACGACAGCCATAGTCCAAGCTTCTGAGAGTGACATTGATTAGGCTGCCGCCATAGTCCAAGCTTCTGAGAGTGACATTGATTAGGCTGCCGCCATAGTCAAAATTTATTGGTGCTAGATACTCTCTACCAAAAACTTAATTATTAAAATTGCACCTAAACCCTATATTACATTTTATCATTACTTAGGATTTGCTAAGATTTTCCTAGCTATATTGGGATATTTAAATCTATATATATATATATATATTTTATTTATGTAATATACATAGCAACTAAGTAATAATAAACTCAAATTCTTCATCAAAGACTCTAACTTGACTATTGAGGTTCTCCTTTCTCCTTCTTCTTCTTGTCTTTTCCCTCATTCTTGGTTGATTTTTCTGGATTCAACTCAAGTTTGATGTGATGCTCTTGTTCTTTTCAGTTTTTTTTAATGGCAGAAGGTCTTTGATGTTTTTGTACGATATGGTTTTTAAAGTTTAGTGTCATCTGGTTTGAGCTTGTCTAGCGTTTCAAATCTATGGTATTTTCATGGTTTAGCATTGCTCTCCCTTATGTAGGTCCAACATTTTTCATAACAAAATGTATTTCAATTTGCCACACTAGCCATAAACGTGGCAGACCAAACTTGGTGTGGTCTGGCGTCTGGCTAAGCTTTGGTTGGACTGGACCATAGGCTGCCTCCCCAAACTCGAACATGTTTCTAGACTAAACCACAAGTTAGGCACTAACACAATTTGGTCCGGTCATTATGCAGCCTACTGCTCATAGTAATCAAAGGGTCAATAATAAAAAATACAAAATATTCCCTCCGGTCCTAAATCTAAGAGTTAATAAAAGAGTTTGTTGTAATTCTAAAAATAAGATATCAATCTATTTTGTCTCTTAAAATTATATTTTTTCTTTAAACTCTCCTTATTGATTGCACATATTAACAAATTTTTTATTAACAGAGTAATTTTTGCAATGCAAATGATTAAATATGGTACTTTGAGTCAATCCTTATTTTTCATAAATTACAAATTTAACTAATTTTCTTAACATCTAAATTAGTTATGTAATTCTCTTATTTAGAACGAGAGGTAGTATTATGTAGTTTCCTTTGCATGAACTGCATTTAAACCTTTATTACTTTATTTAACATACAAAAAGATAAATGTAAATGACAAGTTCGAATTATGTATAAACTAAAACGAAAGTCATTTCATACTTACTATTGTTATTTGTATTTAATATCTATAAAATTGTATAATATATAGATTGAGTTGAAAGCTAAGCCTGTCACATAGGTGTAAGTCATTTCTTTAGCTGACGTTGCATAACAACTTACTTATCAATGAAGCGAGAAAAAAGAGGGACATTAGTGAAACAGCCTCCTGCAATTGGTGCAGTTGAGACATTGAGGATTCCTTACATGCTTGTGTAGGACTACGCGGAGATTAAATCTTTATGGCTTTCAATTGTTAAAACCAATCTACATAGGAGATTCTTCAGCTGTGACTTGATGTTGTATGAATCTTAATGAAAAAGTAGGGCAGTATAATGGACCCTAGAAAGAGTTCTTTGTCATTGTTTGTTGGATATTTGGAAATAACGCAATGAGAAAGTTTTTTAGACTCCCAACGCTAGTGTTTTTGGGCTTCTAGTCAAAGCTGAAGCCATTCTCCCTAGCTTTAGTGCAACTAAGGCTCAACATTGATAATCAAGTCAAAATCAAAGGTATTATAGCTATGAACGAGAGCCGCACTCGGATAGAGATGAAATGGTCGGCGTTTATCAATGTTGATGAAGCTTATTCTCATACGAGTTGCATGATGGGACGTGGGGGTGTTATTAAAGATCCCAAAGGAAATCCAATTGAAGCTTTCATACTTAATATACAAAATGGATACCCTTTAATAGAGGAACTTTGGGCGTATCTTATTGCTCTGAAAAAGGCATGGGATGAGAATTACAGACAAGTTTGTTTGAGGAACAATTCTTTGAATGCAATTAAGTTGATCAAGGATGGAAATTAATTGAAAATTTTTTTGAACACTAAAGTTTAAGGGAATTCGGTCTCGGAAACTCACCAGAGGCAAAGCATACCTCCAGGCTCAGAGAGTGCTTACAGAGATACTTATAGATTACCCACCAACAAAGTCCTCATATCGGCATCAGGATTCGAACTCACGACTTTGTAGATTATGAACCAACTCTTTACCAATTGGACCAACTCTTGTTGGTTCATGATAATTGAAATTTGATTCTAGAAAGCCATGCAATATAATGCTCTAATGTGATTGGTCTTTTGATCGTCAACATCTTCAACGAGAAAAGAACTTTGAAGCTGATATGATGGCTAAGCATGCTTTAGCAATGCCTCCTGGATTTCATTTAGGTATTTTAGATGAGTCTCATTTGTATATTTCTTGTAATGCAGAGTAGTATTTAATGTTTTCTTGATTATAAAAAAAATAAATTGTGAATAATGTTATGAGTAGAGATATTTGAGTTAGATAATACATTTTGTTGTTTTGTCATATAATATTTAAATAATCGTTTACATTTTTTCAAATTAGTGAATCTCCATAAATAATTGTTATCACAAGCATGTATGTGTGTTGCAGAAGACAAAGTCCATTTTCTCAAGCCGTGCAATATTCAGCACGAGGTGTCCTTAATTTGTTTTTTGTTTTTCGCGTAATTGGTTTTACCGGCTGGGACTTAGTTGGAAACTGGAATAAATTATTAATCTTCTGCCTAATTGAAAAAAATTATTATTCACAATCACATATAGAAAATATTAAAGAGTAGATTATAAAAAATTTTCATTGGCAAAAAAATTATACAAAATTTTCTTAAATTTTACTATTATATTTGTAACAACCCTCATAACACATGTACAATTACTTATTTCTAAAACAATAATTAATTCTTTAAAGATTAATATAATAGAAAAAAGTTAACAAAAAAAAAGTAATAATTACGGTAGAATGAATAAATCATATAATTGAAAACTATTATAGTTATAAAAGACTTTGCTAATCCCTTTGAAAAGTCAACCATTATTATAGAAAGAGCAAAACTAATCAAATAAAAGTCTACTATGGTTATTAAAAATTTATATCCATAATAAAGCACTAGTCACTATCTATAATAGCAAAAATAGTTACTATAGTAAGAAATAACCAACACTTGATTTTCACATATGTATCAAATCCATCGTGAAACTTTAGGATTTTAGAAATACAACTAAAACTAATCATAAATAGGCTGAAGCATTTTAAGGTCATCAAAATAACAACCACTACCATCCATAACAATCACAACCAAAAATAAAAGTCATAAATATGGGCCTTAAAACCTCATTTCCCATTCTCTCAAATTTTCTAAAATTTTGAGACATACTTTCCATCATTACCCTTTCTGACCCGAAACTTTTCAAATTTGCAATTAGATCCCTATTAGGATTTAACATGAGGAATCTTCTTGCTGAGGTTTTAACATAACCTCTGGCCCTTTATCATCTTAATCCTCATATTTAACCTCCTGATACTTCACTGTAATCTCTATTTTCTCTTTTTTTAATCCCAAAAAATTTTCGCTTTGTGATTTAGGGGGCATTTGGATAAAACCAAACCATAGTTTGAAGAATAACTTCTGGAGAATAGATTCTTGAAAGAATAAATTTTGTGAAGAATAGATTTTGTGAAAAAGTGATTCTGATAAAGTTAGAGTGTTTGAATAGTTGTTATCAGAAACACTTTTTATATGTGCAAATTACTAAAAAAACATAAGCTAATATGATAATTACATAAAAAATAGATTTTATAATATATTTAAATTTGAAGAAATAAGTTTGTTGATAATATATTTTTTACCAACACAATTAATAATATATAAGAAAATGTAATTAGTAAATAATTAATATGTGCACATATATTTTGAGGTTATTGGAGGGGAAAAGGATGGGAAGCCTGGAAGATTGTTATATATAAGCACCAGCATCTGAGGCATATTTTGTAAGATGGTTGATATTTATTAATGGTGGAGATGGGAGGGGACTAAGGGGAGTACCATCTTTATTTTGTGAAAATGATTCGGATATGTTTTGGGAAATTTCACAGAAAGGGCTTCGATTAAAAAGAAATCACAGAAGGGGCGATGGCAAAGGAGTGAGAGAGAAAGTATGTTTTTCATTTTTCACCTCTGACAGGAGTAATTATTACCCCAACAGCTATAATTTTTCATCTCAAAAGCAAAGGCCATGAGCTTGTCCGAAAACTATGATTTGGCTGGCCAAAACTGAGGTTTTGACTGAAGCCATGGTTTTCTAAGAAAACATGGTGTTTGGCAACGACTGAACCCAAACCTTGGTTTGGGACTCAGAAGTACTTCTAGAGCAATTGTCAAACACCTTCTTAGTCGCTGAGAATCCCTTTGTCCATCTAGAGAACATTTAGGACTCTTACTAGAAGGGATCTAGTAATCTATCTATATCAGACTACTTTTTGTACTCCACAACCTAAAATTTCAGGATGTTACAGCCATATTAAAGGGGTCAGTGAAAGAAAGAGTACATTATTGTCTTTTGGTAGGCACCTGATTGTAGAGAAAGATAGAGGCAAGGGTTCATGCTTGCTAGCGAAACTCCTGACAGTTGATTCAAACTTGGCGAAATCAGCAAAAAAGCCGGAAAAGAGAGTGATATGCGAGGTGGAGTAATTAATTACATGATAAAATTTTATGCTCTTGCTCAATAAACCAGAGTTTAGGAAGAAAGTTTTCAAAAAGAGAAAAAAAAAAGTTTTTAGAGTTTCAAAAGAAAAGAGAAGGAGGGGATGGGATGGAAGAAAGATAAAAAGAAGGGGGTATTTTGGTTTTTTTCTCCTGCATTTTATGATTCATATTTGAGATCTACTTGACGGCAATTATGTGAATTGAAAAACTCAAATTGCAATTTTATATCTTTTGTGGTCTTTTTAAATATTTTTCCAATTTATTTATACATTATTTAAAATTCAGTAGACCTTTATGTAATTTAACTTAATAAATTAAAAGAAAAACGAGAAAAATGAAAAGGGTTCCAAGACAAAAGTCAGAAGGAAACTGAAGGAAGAGAGTTGGGTTGGTGCGTGCAGGAGTTGTTGGCTTGGTTGACTCCGAGGCCATGGCCGCGTGAGGTACCAAGTTTACTGCGAAGCGAACACTTAACATGCCACGCGTTGTTCAAGTGGGGCCCACCTAACAAATCTCCATCAAGAAATGTAGATGTTGAGCCTTCCAACTAAAAATTCAATCCCTCTTGCTCTCAAGAATCAAACCCCATCAATTTTTATATGCGTCTGATCATCCATGAGGTCAAAATCCCTCCCAATCCTAGCACAATTTATTATATATATGACCCTTGAAGGCTCAACCAGAAGTTGGGAAGGCTTTCTTCATCCAATTGATCCTCCATTTCTCTCTCTCTTCCTCTCCGTCTTCTCCATCCTCGGGCTATGACTATGGCACCGAACAAGCTGGATTCTGCGGTAATTCACTTTTTTTTTTTTTGTAAATTTGTATCTACCATTCACAATTAGGGTTGTACAAATAGTTGGTGTAGTTTTCTTAGTTTGTTGGCCTGCTTGGTTGAACTTCGTTTGTCAGAATGAGATTTTTTTTTTTTTAATTGAATCCTTGTAATTCCCTGGCATTTGGTCCAGGGTTTTGGATGTTTAATTGGGATATATTTTTCTTGACGCCTTCTTGTTTTGTTAATAATCTAAACATGGACTCAAATTTGATGTAAATGTACTTGGAATCCCATTTGTTTGGAGTTTCCCAACTTTTGGTTCGTTCGACTCTTCTACTGATAACCATTGGTCAAACTGGGCTTAACTGAGATTTTTTTAAAAAATTGTTTTTTTAAAGCAGCAGAAACCTGATTGAATTGTTAGTTTTTTGTATAATGTACGTATGGAGTCCTGTTACCTACATACTGCAGACCAAAATCCCAGCGTTTCTAAGATTTGAAGCCCAAGTCAAGTTTTCATTTATTTGCGAGCTTACAAGTGGGATTCAGTGGTCTTCAAATTTGATGTTAATGTGCTTGGAATCCCAATTCGCTTGGAGCTTCCTAATATTTATTGGTTCAACACTTGAACTGATTACCGTTGGTTATACACGGTCAAACTGAGAACTTGTGCTGCCGAAACCTGTAAATGAATATGTGATTGAATTGACAGTGTTTTATATAATGTAAGTATTGAGTGCTGTTACCTACATATTGCAGACGAAAATCAAGGCATGTGTATGACATGAAGCTTAAGTTAAATTTCATTTATTTGCGATCTTACAAATGGGACTCGGTGCTGTTCGATTTCATATGGGTTTCCCTTAATTGTTTGAATCTACCCATTTTCATGCACGCTAATTTTATCTCAAGAAAATTTGGGACACTAGAGAATCGATTATTAATTATATGTTGAATCTGATTAATGTGGGTCCCATTTATATGGAGTCCAAGAAATGAGATTGTATTGTTCATGGCTCATGAATAGTGCAGCTATAGGAATTTTATTTTATATATTGTTCATTGGGACCCCCCCACCCCCCAAAAAAAAGAAGAAGCTATTTCTCATGCATTTTTCTGGAACGGGGAAAATTTCTGGTATTCTGATAGAGGAGAAACAGAATAGATGAATGTTACAAGTTCTGTGATTTATTTATTATAGCCACAAGATAGACTGTATTATGACAGTTGTCTGTTTTTGAGGGGATCAATCTCATGTAGCAGTGTCAATTTCCGCTATCAACTGTTCACATAATTTCCCTTGTATGTTCTGTATGTAACAGGGAAATGCAAATGGGTCATGTTCACCATCTGAGAATGGTTTTGCCCGTTCCTTTTCTCTCTTTCCTGCCGAGGCAGACCATGAGCTTCTTCAGTCTTCAATACAGGAATCAGATGGTCATCTTATAGAATTTTCTGAAGCCCTGAGAAGTATGCTCATATTTTGATAAGATTATTGATATCTTCTGCAGTAAGACATGATCTTGATATAATGATCTTAGCCTTAATTTGTTTTAAACTCCTTCTAGCTGTTGCAAAGGCCTTGAGGCGGGCTGCAGAAGGAAAGGCTTCTGCTCAAGCTGAGGCTGCAGAATGGAAACGAAAATATGAGTTGGAAAGGGCACGGAATCTGAAGTTAGATTATAAAGGTTCTAACAATTAAATTACTGCAAGATGCAGTTTCTGTGTTCACACTTCAGTTTCATAGCTGTCGATCATGCAAAAAGAACAATATTTTTAATCAGCTGTGTCCGTCTTAACTGCAAAAGTCCTTTTCTTTGTTTCTTTCACTTGGAGATCCATGAGCTAATCCTTTGTTTTGATTGTTTTGTTTCAACTTTGAGTTATAGATTGTGTCTTCAAATTTATATGATGTGAACCATTATGCCTTGCCTTCCAACATCTAGGAGGGGCCGTTTCATTGTCATTTTCTCAAAGATACTGTTGTGGAAACACAGCAAAGAAAATTGTTTATTTTATTTTTGTAATCTTCATTATGCTATTATTTTGTGGCTTATATTCCAATCTTTCTCGGCATGCTTTCCACCTCAACTGCTGCTTCTTGTGCTGCTTCTCTTTCTCTCTCCTCCCTGCTCTCCCCTTCTTCAATTTATAATATTTCTTTGGTTCTTGTTTCTTTAACAGTGCAGTCATGCCTAGTGAATCAAGGTGATCATGGTGATGTGAAGATGGATAACCCAGCCAACAAGCCTGCATTTTGCAATGAAGCTGGTCAGGTGTCTGAAAGATGTTGCTCAAGAAATGGGATTTGCTCTCATGAGGTTTTAAGGGATGGGAGTCCTGATTCTGATGCCAAGATGGTTAGAAAGGTCTGTTATATATCCCTGCTTGATTTAAAATAAGTTGTTATGATGAATCTTTAGCTGGTGGCTGGGGGGTTGCTTATTGGTGCTTTGAAGATGTGTGTGCAATTGTATGCTGCATAAATAGTCATTTTGTCTTATATTGTTACTGGTACGAGGTTGTATTTATTACTTTTTAATTCTGTGCATCTCTTTGCCATAAAAAGGTGTATGTAATCTTAGTTTTTGAGGAATTTGTTCTGCCAGTAGCTAATGCATTTTCATCCCAATAATATTGTACGGCATAAAAAGTCAACTGCAACTGAATTTTTTTCAAATCTTCCTCCCCTTCTTAAAAAGCTCAATTGGAGTTGTTTGCTTTTGAGCCAGGCTTCATTTAAACTTTCGTGGTGCTGCAAAGGTGAGCAAAGCGATCAGCACAAACATGACATTGTCTCCTTTGAAAGAGGAAACATAACCACTGCTGAGCGCAGCAGTAAGCAGGTATCAGCTCTGCCAGTGAGGAGAGGCCTTATTGCTTTTAAAGAATTCTTACAATTGATCTTATATTCTTGATCTTAAAGTTTTCCCTTGTACAAATATTGAAGTCTGCATACTTATATGTTCTTTAACTAAAAAGTCCTCTTAATTTCAGATATCTTTGAAGTGGGAATCATGCCCACAGACGGTGCTCATATTGACCAAACCAAATTCAGTTTCTGTCCGAATTCTGTGTGCAGAGATGACTAGGTCTGAACCCCAATATATCACCTATTTTATTATTTCTTCAGCATTTCTGCTTTTCAATTAAAAAAAAAAAAAAAAGGTTCTTCCTAGTCTTGCATACAATGCTGGATTTCAGCATGTTGAGAACTTCTGAAAACTACGCAATATGCCATCAAGGAAAGGCATTTGCATCAGAGAACTTGATTTAGTTTGCTGCTACTTCTACTGGTCTTTTTTCCCTCCCTTTCTTTCTTTAGGAAGGTTAAGGGATCTAGTGTTGTCATGAAACCTAAGAGATTTATGCGTTTTGATAGTTTTTTCTTTCCTCTTTTATAAATAATGCATTGCAGGCTGATGGAGGATTAAAGGATCTAGTAAAAATTATAAGTGGCTCGAGTTATAGATTCATCATGTTGTATTGGAGTTTCTGGTGCTTTGGTCTTGAAAAATCGTATTTAAAACTGTAATTTACTTGCATATTATCCAATTTTTAGATGAATACAATGATCTATCTTGAAGGGTGGATCCTCATCTTGACCCTGGCCTCTAGCCTGAATCTTGCTTTTTATGCACTGGTGTTAAGGGCTTGAAATGTTTTTCCTGTCATTTGTAATATGCTTAGCAATCCCATCTTTGTGTCCTTATTTTTCTTTGCCTTCCAAGGTCTAGCTATGTATATTGTTATCCTTTTTCTTAATTTAATGTTATTTGTCAAACTTCCCCAGATAGTGGGATAAGGCTTTGTTGTTGTTGTTGTAATGTTATTTGTCAAACTTGCTCGAGTGGTTTTACTCTCCTATCTTTATTTGTCTTCCCAGATGGTTGAGGGAGCTGCAGAAGCTAAACATCTATGTGGAACCACGTGTTAGGACAGAACTTCTAAAAGAGTCATCATACTATAGCTTTGTAGAAACTTGGAAAGATGGTGAGGAACGAACTTTTTGATCACATAATCTTAATTCAAGCCATATTTAGCATGAAGGATGTATCATCAGAAATGCTTCTTGTAATTTTGTGAAGTTTTCTAGTATTGTCTTATACCCTATATGTTTAATTTTTTTTAATGAGTGTTGATACCTACTAAGAGTTCTTTCGGTTTTCATTATTTTAAACTAAATTCCAATTGGTTGCAGATAAAGAAATTGCACTGTTGCACACTAAAGTTGACCTTGTGATTACTCTTGGTGGGGATGGCACCGTCCTATGGGTATGTGCAATTAATTCAAACGACCCCCTTATGTTATGAATTTCTTTAGTAGTTATATTCATCAACAAATGCCAAAAATAATTTTTTCTGATGACTCAAATAATAAGCATACATGGTTATACAAAAGGAGATAAAACTATCCTGAGAAAGAAAATAAATGCTGTGACAAATTGATGTTTTAGGGATTCCTAATTCCTTGATTCTATGCCTAATGAATTACAATAATGACATAATATCTGACGTTATTCTACAAACTGTGCAGGCAGCATCTATGTTCAAAGGACCAGTTCCTCCTGTTGTCCCATTTTCCTTGGGTTCTCTTGGCTTTATGACCCCTTTCCGTATCCTCCATCTTTATCTACATTTTATTTTATCTTCTCTGATATAACATCCTTTTCTCTTATCTGACTGAAAGTTTAACTTAATATCCTTCAGATAGTGAACATTACAGAGAGTACCTTGAATCGATATTAAAGGGCCCCATTAGCATAACACTTCGGCACCGTTTACTATGCCATGTCATAAGAGATGCAGCTAAAAATGAATATGAAACTGAAGACCCAGTTCTTGTTTTAAATGAGGTCACTATTGATCGTGGTACATCATCTTACCTCACAAATTTGGAATGTTACTGTGACAATTCTTTCGTCACGTGTGTACAAGGAGATGGATTAATCTTATCCACAACATCTGGAAGTACTGCATATTCTCTGGCAGCTGGCGGATCAATGGTCCATCCTCAGGTACTTGAAGAAAATCTTGTTAACGTTTCTTTTTCAGAGTTAAACTGATCAGCTGAGTAAATTCTTTAATATCTTTCAGTTTCAAGAAAATAGGGTAATTTATTTTCCAGGTCTATACTATAAACTACAAAGAAGCTTTGCCTAGTACATAGGTCTATGTTGTGCTAGATGTGCAAGTAGCAGCAAATGCAACCTGCAAGAATTAAAACTTGATATTGAACTAATTTCCATTGTGGACCTACCTAGCTAGTAGAGCTGGCAAACTCAGCCTGGCCTATTTAAGCCTGTTTAAATTGAGGGCCGAGCTTCCAAAAATAAATGATTTTAGGGTAAGCGGGCCTTTATGCCTGACCCTTTTAAGTTCAAGCTTGTCAAGGGCCAGTTTGTTTAAGCTCGCCTAATATATATATACATATATATATATATATATATATATTAGGTGTATTTTAACCATTTTGATAGTTATATTTGTGCAACTTTTTCTTTAGCTAGGAGTCATTTGAAATTATTTTAATCCTTTATAAATCTTATGATCAAACATAATGCAAAAATATCAAGGTATTTATGCGATTATGCATCACATTTCTATTAAAGTTTGGGATAACAGTTTGATTTGACTTGGTTCTGGTTATTTGGACTTAATTTGATACTTTAATTTGCTAATATTTATGATTTGAATTAGAAATTTTGAGATCTTTTATTTTATATTTTTGTCTATTTATTAAAAATATTTAAAAATTTTAAAAGGGCCTGAAGCTCGTGTGCCAGGCCCGAGCCCGTGAGTTCAAGGGCTAGATCAACTTTAGGAGTGCTTTAGGGTAAGCAGGCTTCTCAAGCTTGGCCCGTTTAGGCTCAAGCCAATTAAGGGTTGGCCTGTTCTCCTTCCTCTACTAGCTAGCATTGCCAGGAAGTCCTTGATATGCCATGGTATTGACATAAATTGTTTTGTGCTTTTGATCGCATCGGACTTGGATTCTCTCTATTACCCTTCCCATCCTCTTTCCCTCTAGTACCTTCTTTTCCCTTCACAACCATTGGATCAAAACTCTAATGGTCCAGATTTAATATTTTATAACATTTTATAAAAATAAATATTATTATAAAAAATAGATAAATAAATTTAAACTGTTAAGATCTAATCTGAACAGATCATAACTACAGAGATCATAACTACAGACTGTTATTCTAGAGCAAATTTTTTTCAAATTTTTTTTATTACAGTTGTGAACTGTAAATTTATTTATTTTTTTTTAATAACATTATTTTTATAAGATGTTAAATCTGGACCATTGAAATTTTTATCCAATGGTTGTGAAAAGAAAAGGGGGTAGTGCAAGGAAAGAGGATGGGAAGCGTAGTGGAGAGAATCCAAATCCATCCGCATTAGGGTGCTTTGTTATTGTACATCAGGCTTTAACCATGTTAGGGGGAATGGATTTTTGTATGTCAAAAGAAATGACACGGCAGAGCCTTAGAGTAAGTTACTGGGGCAAGGCAATAAAATTTATGAATAAATCAATATTTTGCATTCTGGACTACTTGAAAAAGGTCCTCATCACAGCGGTGTGCTCATCACTGCGGTGTGCTCATCACTATAATGAAATCTGTGCTATTCAAAATCTAATATAAACGATCTAGATTTAAAATTTTTAATATGCAATTTTTTCGATGATATATTTATTTTTTTATGTAGTGTTAATTTTATGATTATCTTTATTTTCAATTTTGTATCTATTAAAATAAAAAATTATTTAGAACATAAGAAACATTTAAATTGAATATAAACCATTTAAAATCAATCTAAATGGTTAAAGATTAAGATGAGCACTAATGAGCATGGAATGGGCTTCCATATAAAAATATTTTAAGAGCAAACTGTTGGAATGGAGAAACTGAGAAGCTATTTATACATTGTTTTGTTTTATAATTCATGTAACAATTCAATAAGATAATTATAAAATACAATTAGTCGGATTTGTGTATTTACCTGAGTCTGCTTCTGTGTATGTGCGTATGACACAGAAAAAATGTGAAACCAAACATTAATAAACACAAGACACTTCCTAGTTTCTGAGAGGTTGGCTGTCCACCAAAGTCAGACAAAAGATCTCCTTAAACCACTTCCCTTCTGAGCCTTTCCTTTCATACGCTCTCGTCAATTTCTTTCTAACTGCTACCTCCTATATTATATCATTGTTTCCGTTGTTTTGCTTCTCTAATTTCTTCTTCTTTCTTGTATATACTTCTGTATATATTATTGGACCAGCAGTACCTTGTTCTCCTATTTTCTCTTCCGTTTATCTCTTGTTAGTTTTGACTGCTAGCTCTGGAGCAGTGAGCCCAACATATTTCTAACCGATTAACACCTGCAAATGGATAAAATTGGATTTGAGAAAAGTTAAGCTTCCCCAGATTTAAAATTATTTCCTCTTTTAAGTCACGTGTATTGAGTTAGTAATGGGGCTTTCAATAGGTTGTATGGGGCCTTAGGTTCAAACTTTTCTGCTTTATTTATCCTAAATGAACATCTTGTTTATGCACAAAACTATCAAGTGATGGTAGTCTTTAATTTTCTTTTAATGAGATCTGTATGTAAGATTTCATCTATGCTAGATATATATTTTCCTGAAGTGTCCACTAAAATTTTGGCTGAAAGGAAATTGGCAAAAATATGAGTTAGAGGAGAACAAGTCAATGAAGAAAGTAGAAGAAAATCCGCAGATGCACCTTCCAAAATTTTAAAAGTGAATATCCATACGGAAGTCACCGGAAACATACTTATTGAAAAATTGGATTCTAAAAGTTGCTGCTTTTGTGCTTAGCCAAACTTGCTGAATTGAGGCAGATATGCGCACCTACCCGAGTCCATGTGATTTTCCTCCTTTATTCCCTTTAAAAGCACGAGAAAATCTTGACATGCTTTCCTTTAACATGGATGGACAAATACGTACGGCCAGAAATGCATCCAACTTATGGCGAATTCTTTATACTAAATGACTGTTTACTTGGGATATTAAAAATCATTGATTGCAGTTATGGTTTGCATGGTATTTGTGGTTTTCTAATGATATATGATTTCTGTGAGCTGAGTAATATGATAACTTGGCTATCAAGTTATGCTTGTTTTTCAACAAGTTGGGTTTAGGTTTTCTAGGATTGCTGTGTATTATGGATTCAGGATTCTTGTAATTCCAACTACAGTTTAATGGTTTCAGCCTGCCCTCTGTTCCCTATTCGCCCCCCATCTTGGCTGCCTCGTATTGTCCTTTCCTTTTGTGTAACATGAAGGATGAAAGTAGATTTCAACACTTGCCCCCGAGAACTAATACTGCTTTTGGATTAAAATATCTTGTTTAACTACCAGTACGATAGAGTAGGCTGAAAAACTATTTTATGCCAAATTCATGTTGTAGATGCAAAATTCTTGGTGAAGAAAGTCTCTGGCCAGTGTGTAAATGAGAGTGTAATTTCGGTTTTCTCATTTATTTTGAAAATGAATTCTTTCTTTGCGGATTTAAGAAGTTTCATCACCTTATCTTTTTTCAAATTTTTGTGAAATGATTTTGCCTAAACATGCTCCTCCGTTGTGAAACTCTTTCCAAATTTGCAGGTACCGGGAATTTTGTTTACTCCAATTTGTCCACATTCACTATCTTTTCGGCCACTGATATTACCGGAGTATGTCACTCTTCGGGTGCAAATACCATTTAATAGCCGAAGCCCTGCATGGGCTTCCTTCGACGGCAAGGACCGGAAGCAGCTGGCACCTGGGGATGCACTGGTGTGCAGTATGGCACCCTGGCCTGTTCCTACTGCATGTCAGGTTGATTCCACAAATGACTTTTTGCGAAGCATACACGAAGGCCTCCATTGGAATTTGAGAAAGACTCAGTCATTTGATGGACCTAGGGAATTGTAATTTCTCAGTTCAGTTTCTTGCTGGGTAAGTTTACAGAGAGTTCAACTTCTCAGGAGAATTGAATATCTTGATCAGTAAATCTGACTTTATTCAGAATCATAAAGTGGTGTTCTCTGTGGATTTACCCCTTCTCTTTTCTTTCTTGCCTTCTCTATGTTCCTCTACTATGACGGGCTACAAAGCAAATGTAGCAGCAAATTGGGTTATCGTAAGTTGGGATATATTGAAGATAGGGTGTAATAATGTATTATTAGTTCTTCCTCCTACAAATAGGTGCTGGTAATTACCATACACTGCACAGCTAGCTATCCCCTGATGACGACGGGGAAAAAAACAAGACGGTGAGTTTGAATTATAAGGTAATGTCCTGGTATGAGATTTTTTTTTTTTTTTTGGTTACAAAAAGTTTAGGTGAGTTGGGTCATAGGGGTTTACTAAGATCAAGGTATGTCTCTAAATTTAGAAAACACTTATAGAGATATTTATAGATTGACTACTATCAAAGTTTTTATATTAGTAGTGAAATTTGAACTCATAACGTGAACCAACTCTTGTTCGTGTCTTGATGGAAGAAATTGTGAGAACTAGATATAACTATCCTATGTTCCTCTGGGCCTATATGATTTGTATGATTTGTGCACGAGAATGGGTTACTTGCAGAAAAATGGAGATATATAATACTTGCGAGAATCATTGAGATTCTAGGGATAAAATCTAATCACTAAAAAATTGTATGATAAGCAGCATTTAATGACAAATTTTACTGGATAAAATGATAATAGGTTTATGTTGTTTATATATTATTTGGACTTTTTTGGTGATTATGGGCCTGTTTTTTTTCTCTTTGTTTTCTAGTTTTTGAAACAATTTTATAAAATTGTTTTTTAGAACAAGTTTTGAAAACAAAAACACAAGAATTTGCTTAGATGATAATTTTAAAAAATCATATTTTAAAAAAAATATAGAAAATCATATTTGGTAGATGATAGTTGTCTTTACTAATGATAAGTGGTGGATGGTAGGTGAAAAGAGAAGATTTTTGAAAATATTTAAAACAAAAAATAGAAACATAAAAACAAAAACAAGAAAACATTTAAAAGTTGTTTTGGTTTTTTGGTTTTTAAAAACATGTTACTGTTTTTTGTTTTTCAAAACAATTAATTAATAACAAATTATCAAACAAGTTTTTTTTGTTTTTTAACGAAACAAGAAACCAAACAAGCCTTATATTTTTTTCTTGGATCTCATAGCAATTCTTCCTATTATATTCAAGTGATCATTGTTTGACATTAACTTTTTGCTTTCTTTTTTTTTTTTTTTATATTCCATTGATTGTGACTGTCAAAATGGGTTTTTGATTTTCATCTTTGTAACTTTGCTCAATTCTTGTCTAATTAAAGCTTGTATTCCTATTATTGATAGTTTAAATGGTGTTACGTTCACAAAATCATTTTACACAGTACACGGGAACTAATAAATAACCTAAATTTTAACAAAATTTACTGGTATTTTACCAAAACATTCTCATTCATTGTAGCTTCTAAAATATACAATTCTTTTCTCATAAGGTGAAATCATTAAAAAAAATTTATTCTTTTGTTTTAAATCTAAAGTGATGGTTATTTAAAATAAAACCAACTTGTTAAGTCTCAGGAAGTGACTTATTGGTCGGGTTTTAATCTTAACGCTCATGATCTAATATATATTAGTTTCAAATTCAAAGTCACTTGATAGTTGAGAATACTTTGAGTTTACCAAAAAAAAAAAGAGGAAGGAAAACCAAACTTCCGAAATGGCTAGAGTTGAAGTGAAAAGAGTATTTATATAGGAAAAGGGAGTGAAAAGAGTATATCTGATTAAGCAAGAGCCAAGAATGATAATAAAAATCCTTTGATATAAAGCCGATGAAATCTTCAACATTTAATGAAAATTATTATACTTCCATATATAGATGCATTTTCATATTCTATATTTATTATTAGGTAAAAGTGTGTAATATTTTAAATTTTATACAAGGTTTTATTTTTATTTTTTAGTTTTATAAAATTTCTTTTTATTCTTTTAATATTAAAATTTTAAATATTGACAAAACATTCCAAAAATACTAAGATATTAAATTTAATTTTTTAAAATAAAAATCATTATTAAAAATTAATAGTGTTAGATTTAGAGTATTGATAACTTTTTAAAATTCAGATACCAAATGAAAATGTTGAATGAAGGTTAGAAAACTAAATATGCAGTTTTTTTTTTTATAACAAATCAATGTTATTAATGCTATCCTTTATTTTATGGCTCTATATATGGTGTTGGCTTTGGAAAAGCCAGTCCTTCACAGGATGGCATTACACAAATCTCAACTTTGCGTCATACTGCTGTTGCTTCTCACCGTCTTCTCCACTCCATCTACAGGTATGTATATGATTATATATGGATAAAACCCTTGCTAATAATGTGTATTAGCTAAAACTACCATTTGATGAAACTTTTAACATGTGCAACTATTATAAGAACAATTTTGAGAAAAATAGATAAATATAAAAGATAAAGTGGATTGAAGTCTTGTATTTAAAAACTAACTCTCATTTAAAAATAATGTTTTGAATGATAGGGGAGAAGTATTACCTAAGATGCAAATCAAGCAGAGATTGTGATTTGAATGGAATTTGTCCTCCATCCTGTCCTCCTGGCACCAATACTTGCATCTTCAACAACGCAACAAAAACTTCAAGTTGTCATTGTTGTACACAATCTCTCACATAGATATCTCATAAGGGGTTTTTGGGTTTGCTTAAATTGACTAAATGTAAGTGGAAATAAGGACAGGTCCTACCTGTAATATCCAAGTCCAATATAGAATAAAGTGGAGTTTAATATTACTATTTAGTAGGGATTGCTTTAAGTGGTTTAGCGCTTATTTTCTTTCTTTTTCTTTTTCTTTTTTTCCGGAAGCAAGCCTTTGAAATCACGAGTCTTGCATATACATAGAGAGGAGATTGTTTTCTAGAATTAATTGGATTTTAAATTAGTTTATGTGGTTTTTGAAAACAGATGTTATGAAAAAAAAAAACAGAGAGAGAGAGGCAGATAAATCACTAAAAGAAATAAAAATTAATATGATAATTACAAAAAAAGAAGAGGGTTTGTGATTGAATGGAGAGTATTTACAGTATATTACCTACTCTCAAAAGTCCATCTGTCCATCACCCTAAGGTCATATTTGGTATGTAGGCTTGAATTTTAATGAATTGAGATTGGAAATCAGAGTGGGATATTGGGATTGGGAGTTGAAATGGGCTTTTTAAATTTATGTTTGGTATGGCTTAATATTATATTAAATTTATTTTATAATAAGACATAAATTATCAAAAGACTATAATCTCCTTATCATTAAAAAAAATAAAAAACAAAGCTTGCAACTCCATTTCGTTCACCAAAACCTCATCTCCCTGCATCCACCCATCTTCGGTCGACAATCATACCGCTAGTCACATCACACAATAGATTTATTCAACAAAAGTCGTTCCAGAAGACAAATCCATTAGCTTTATTTGAAGTAAAAGAAAAAAAAAATAAAAAGGAAAAATGAATAGATTTAGGATTTGGAGAGTATGCTCAGCAATGACACAGGCTGAAGACAGAAATGGCGGCGAGGATGCACACAGCAGCTCTAAAGGGTTAGAACAGCAAGGGCTTTGAGGAGGGTGCTTTGGTCTGAAGAGTTTTAATCCTAGGATTGAATTTTCAGTAACATTCCTTCCTCGTTTTTTCTCAATCCCACCTACCTGGGTTTTACTACTATCATGTAATAAGCACTCTCTCTTATCAAACAATTTTTTAGTGGGTTTCTTCAATTTCAATTCTAATCTTCACTTCCTAATACTTTCTAAATAGGGTCTAACTTCATAGAAAACTATGGTTTTGGCTTGAAACAATGGTTTTGGTATAATTAATTAATTTTCAAAATTTTATGAAGTGTTTGGCTACTTTTCACCGGCCAGGTTTCATAAAAATGTAACTCAATTGCCGGATGATAATTAAACTAGATTGTCAATAGGTTAATGCATGGAATTCTCCCTCTTTGATCTTTTGCTCTTTCGGCCTTTTTTTTTTTTTTTAAACTTCAAACTTTTACAAAGCATAATTGTAGTAGTGGCTGTGGTCATAAAATACAAAATAATTATTTTTTAAAATAAAATGATGGATTTTTTGTTGCAAAAAAAAAAGGATTAACTATTAGATTCCAATTATGCACTTTTTTATTTTTTATTTTTGCCAACAAAGAAATCCATTCCTAAAAGAAAAGTCCAAAACAGGGTCCCAAGAAAAAAGTAAAGAAAGAAACAACAGCTAAGCAACAACATCAAAAACAAAAGCAAAAGATATTGTTGACCACCCAAGCGACTTGAGGAGCAGCCCTTTCTAATCATTCTAAATTGCGTCGGGGTCTCCAAACCCGGTTAGCTGGGACGACCCCAACAATGAAGCTTTAACAACCCAATCAGTCGCCAAATTTGCTTCCCCGGGAATCCAAAGTCGAGTTTTCCTAGTTAGTTCCCTTGAGAAACAAAGGTTCTTAAAGAGAGTTTCACACCTCCAATTGGGATAAGAAGCACCATTGTTTAAACAGCTAATCAGCACTTTGTTATCAAATTCAAACTGAATATCCTCCAGTTGATTTTCCCAAGCAAAATTGAAATCATCAGCGAGGGCAATCCCTTCTGGAATTCTTGCATTTCCGTCAACTATCCATCCATTGGAATCTCTGACAATATAAATTACAGCTGGCATACAATAATCAGAATTGAACGTGCCGTCTGGATTAATTTTAATAGTATTACCTTCAGAAATCTTTCACATCTTAAATCTGGACGAGTGACTACCAGTGGATGTATTGATATGTAAAGAAGAATCACCCTCTGCATTAGCCCGCCAAAATTCCTCAATCATTTTATGTAATTCCAATGGATGGCAATTATATTCTTTGCATCCATGTGTTTAATATAAAAACTAATTTAACATTTAATTTGGTCATAAATTAATACATTTTATCTTTTATATTTATCTAATTTTTTCAAAATAATCCTTATAATATTTTATCAAATGATGCTTCTAGTCAATACGTACAATTAGTAAAGGTATTTTAGAAAAGATAATACCTAATTATTATAAATAAATGACTTAACAAACTTTCTTAATATAGTCAAATTAGTTAGCTGGCTCTTATGTTAAAAATCAGAGGTAGTATTATATAGTATTTAATTTAATTTACTTGATTTTGATTTTATTTAGATCTATATAGCAAAATTAATTCAAATATATACTAAATGAGAAACATATCATTAGCTATTGAAATCATTTCTCTCACAAATTAACCAATTGTAAATATAGGGGTTAGTACTTATAATTGAAGAAAATATAAGGATCCAAGTAAAAATAAAAAAAGTTACAAAAACTAAATTAAAAATGGGGTAAAATTATAGGGATCTGTATATTAATTTTTCCAAAATATAATCTGAACTAATATGAATGAAAATTGTATATAATGAAAACCAACAGATAGTTTTAATCCAAATTTAATATTCATTTTAAAATTTTTGCCCAACCTAATTAGTACGGTATCGTTTATTTCATTTCCGTCCCACAATCAATTGGAAACGGTGTCGTTTTTCCGAGATTCACAGACGAGGAACTGGGACGTTGCAACGAAATTACAAATGACTCTGCGAGTCAGCTTTCCTCATCGAATTCCTTCCCGATTCTTGTTCGCCTTTGTGCTTGGAACTTAAATGATTTCCCTATCGCCTCTCTGTGGTTCGTCCCTTTTGCAGTGAAGAAGCAAAATGAGTTTCCTCTTAACAACTTTGACGAAGAAGCACGAGGTGGATTCAATTATCAGAGACACCTTAGAGAAGGTCCTCGTCCTTCGTTTCGGCCGCCCCACCGACCCTGCCTGTCTCGTGCTTGACGACATTGTATGGCTTCGTTTCGTTCTCATATTTTCTATGTCTTTGGGCATGAAAATTGAATTTTTTAAGGCTTTGGGTGCTAGAAATAATGCCTGTTTACAGGTTCCGCATTATCTATTTCTAGTTTGCTGTGATGTTCAAAAGTACTGAAAATAGGGAATAGAGAATTAAATTCTTTCTACCCTATTCATGCCTATGAGGGAAAACCTTTTCCTCTTTTTGAGTCCAATTGCGCGGGAAGGGAGTCAAAATTTCCGAAACCTTATTATTATATTTAGGGTTAAATATGTTGTGAATAGCATTCAAGGTGCGTGTAAAGTGTTTAGTGCTTGTAAGTTGGTAATAGGGTAATCTAATTAGTTGGGCATGACTTCTATGCTCATCAAATTTGACATCTGTTTCGTGATTTTGTTTGTCTGATATTTAGAATGTTATTATGTGATGGCGCATAGGGGTACCATCTTAGTCTTAAATTTGATACCATGGTTTGAACCGGAAAATTCTAGTTGTAATTCATAATATGCTCAGAATATGCTCAGAATTTTACGCTGTGATGTCCTAAAATTTTGTTGACATTGTTCACCCAGCTTTCTAAATCAGCGAGGGATGTGTCCAAATTTGCAACGGTGGCACTAGTAGATGTTGACTCCGCAGACATTCAAGTTTATCTCAAGTATTTTGACATTACCCTCGTACCATCTACAGTTTTCTTCTTCAATGCGCATCACATGAAAATGGATTCAGGGTATGATATCTGCACTAGTAAATGCTTATTTCATCTCATTCTACTCCATTTTTGAGTTTAAGATCTTGTGATAATTTTACGCATTGTAGAATTAATTCTACTTATTGTGTTAATTTTATCATATATCATGTAGGAATGCAGATCACACTAAATGGATTGGCGCTTTTCACAAAAAGCAAGACTTCATTGATGTTGTAGAGGTAAATCCTCCATTTCTTCGAAATCATTCCATTTATGTATGAATTTCTAATGGCTTGGCATGGCTACCAGTTTTGAATTTGGGACTTTAACACCAGCATCTTAAGACTGCAAGTTCTTAATCAATTGGTTAGAACATAATATTCAAATGCCAATAACTGGACTACTGGAAGAACGCCAAGGGAAAAGAGGGGTAAAAACAATGATATCAGTTAATCCTGATTCCCTTTAAAGGAGCTGGAATGATAGGTTGGATTTGTTAAACATAAACTGTTAAGAAGAAGTATATAATTCTATAAGACAGTCCTAACTGTATGAGGCTGTAGTTCAGAGATAAGAAAGTCAATGCCTATTAACGGCGTTTCTCCCTCAATTCTATGTATTACTATAGTTTTGGTATGCATGATACTATGGTGGGAGAAACAGAGAATGCTTGAAAATTGCTTTACTGATTTGAGTTTGCTTAGCCATCTCTAAACATGTTTCATTATAATTTTATGCCTGGGAGGTTTTTTTCGTGTTTGATGAGTATTATTAAGTGTGATATAGATGTCATCTTGTGCCAAAGCAATCCAGCCCCCCTTCTGTTAGAACTATTGCGAGTTGATCAAACATGGTTTTCTGGTTTAAAAACAAAAGATCAAACATGTTTTGATTCGATTTGTTATCATCAGGCCACTTTCTGCTTTACTCACTTTTCATTGTTATTGTAATTTGATTCATGGTTCAACAGTCTAACTGCAGTTGAATTGAAGTCAAATCACATAATATTTTACGGCTAAATCATTACATATGTTATAAAATAATATTTACAATAGATGTAGATATTTATTAGTATAAAAACAATCAAATCATGTTTTCATGAGGAATAAATCCTTGTGAGACGAGTTGAGGAGATTGAATCTCTATCATAATATGCCAAAATTCTGTTCCATAAGCAATTGGGATTTGATAGAGTCTGTGCGATATCCACGTACTTTCATGGTTTGAGCCCTTTCTTTTGACTAATTTTACTCCCTCTTTTGGTTTTGAGGATCAAAGGAACTGGTTGATCTACGTCCAGTTTTTGGGTTTAAGCAGCATTGATCTGTATTTCTTGATACCATTCAAGTGTTATAGAATTACTGGGAGGCCTTTTTTTCCTCCGGAAGATACTATTATAGATGCCTTTCTTCTTTCTCCTATTCTGAGTCTTTCAATATTATGGAATTATCTATCAGGATGCATGAACCTTTTTCTTCCCCTGTTTTAATTGATTAATTAAATATTGCAGGCGATATACAGAGGAGCAATGAAGGGAAAGCTTATTGTGAAGTGCCCTCTTCCACCAGAACGGATACCAAAATACCAGCTACTGTACAAAGATGTCTAGAAGTTAACCTTGGTAGTTATGATTACTCGCTTTCCCTTTAGTCTCTAGAGCCGGTTTGATATGTTGGTTGGATCTTAAAAGAATTGAAATTTAAAAAGACAAAGAAATTGGCTGGTCTTAATGGAATGGAACATTTTTTCCATTATGCTATTAAAGGGAAAATGATAGAAAATCTTTTGAAGCTGTTTAGACATGTACAGAAAAGGTTGTTGGAGGTGTGCTGAGGAGGGTAGTCTGGGTAGATAATGTGGACTCCTTTGAAAAGGAGTAGAAGAAGATAAAAAATAATACTCAATGAAGTCATTGAATGGAACAATTTGGTTAACAATATACCCTGAGTTTTGGTTGTTGATAGAGTACAATTCATGCGGTCCATGTAAGTACCCTGCCTAATAAGATAAGGCTTTTTACTTTTGTTGTTGATGTTGCTTCTCAATCCCTAAATTATATAAATTGTCTGTTTCCTTTTGTTTTTCTCCTATTTTACCCTTGCATATGTCAGCATGTGCTCACTGCTGACTTTAATGGTTTTCCTATTAACCGTTTTATGTAAATTTATACTTCGGGTTCTTCCTATTCTGCTGGTCCGTGCGCATTCTGATGTTTCCTTTATTTTTGTTGGTTTAATTTGCTCCTCATGTTTCGTTGATTATGTTTGATCGATCATCTACTTTAATCTTTATTCTCAAATATCTTGGTTATTAAAATTGTGACCTGTCAATTTCTATTTCAAAGTTGTTAATACTTATTGAAATGTGGTTAATATCTATACAAAAGTATGAATGACCTGAAAGAGTGGTTTTGTTATTTGCTAAATAAAAGTTAGTATCTATTAAAATGTAATTAATACTTAGACAAAAGCTGTGAACGACTTGAAAAAATAGTTTTATTACTTATTAAATGAAAGTTGTTAATTCCTATTGAACTGTAATAAATATCTATGTAAAAGTTGTAAATGACATGAAAGAAAAGCTTTTTACAAGCTGGACGGAAGATGTTAATACTTATGGAAATGTTGTAGTTAATATTTACGCAAAAGTTGTGAGTCATCGTAGTCAAAGCTAAGTAGTTAGCTTGCATATTTTTTTGCATTGTATTGATAGTAAAAAAATTGGCGGCTCAATGGTCATCTTTAATTTTGATACAAACCACCAACTTTATCTCTCATATTCAGAGGGGGTTATGGTGCCGGTGGCTGTGGGTGAAAACATGCTAGGCTTTTTAATTTTTGGTAAGAATAGGCCAGGTTTAAGTAAAGTAGGTTTGAGTCTCAAACAAAAACATAAAGCTTTAGTCTGTATATAGGTCTTTTTAAGGTTTGGACTTGAGCCTTTGGAAGGCCTAATCAAGCTTAAAACCTTTTTAAAAGCCTATTTAAAATGTAGGTTTTTATATCTTCAACTATATATATTTATAATTTCTCAGACCTATTTAGAATTCTATACTGTGCCTTAAATAAGGCTTAAGGCTGCAAAAATTACATATGATTTAGTTATTTAAATAAATTTAATTTAAATTTACAATAAAATAACAAAATTCTTTTAATTATGACATCGCATAAAAACTTGATTCAACTACATTAATATATATGATATTTTTTTCAGCCAATCACATGATAAGTTGTTTATAACAATCTAAACAATTCTAAAAATAGATCATGATCAAACTCATAATCTAAGATTTCAATATAATTTCCTTTTTATTTGATGGTTCTTATAAAATAAATTAAGTCATTAGTATTCGGGAGACTTTATTATTACTTTCCAATAGATAGACTTAATCTAACAATGATGCTGTGAGTTCTTAAACAAAATTATGAAAATGCTAATCAACTAATCTGTGTGCATATAGGCATGAAGTATTTTTTTTAACACGATATTAAAATTTTTACTATAAGTCCATAACTTTCAAATTGAAACTTTACAAAAATATATTTAATGTCAAGAAAATAATGGAAAAAATATGCTTAGCCAAAATTTTAAAATAAGTAGAATTTCGTAAAATTAAGTTCCTCCAAGGATAAACAAAAGGCATAAAAAGTTAAAGTATAAGCTAATAAATTTTATTAATTTTGTAATAATATGAATTGATTTAGGTTAGGTTATATTTAATTATACATAAGGATGTAAATAAAATTGATTTAGATTATATCATATATTATAATACATATAGCAAAAAAAATAAAAATAAATAAACAAGCCAGTAGGCTCATAGGCCAGGTTTTAATTAAAGAGGCCTGGTCTATTTACATTTTTTTTTTTTTTGTTTTTCCTGACCTATTTAAGACTTAGAAATAGACTTGAGCTTGGCCTTAGCTTATTTATTAAACAAGTCAGGACAGTTTCAAAGAAGGCTAAGCTGTCGGTCTCTGAGTTACTTACACCCCTACTGGTGGCCAATTGCCAATCGTCGAAAAGGTCTCTGGCAAGGGGTTGAAAACTTTATTTTAAAAAATATATATATATATATATATATATAAAAGGGGCATTTTTGTTGTTTTATTAATTTCAAAATTTCATTTTAGTTTTTCTTCTCCCTTTGAAATTAGCAAGTTCTACGTGCCCATTGTGGGATTTAGTACTTTTTTTGGGTGTCATTTTCTCTTTTGCTTTTTTTTTTTAAATTAGGAAAACCATTTTGTAAGTATTTATAGTTTCTTTAAATTTGTAATTTGGTATCTGTGTTTTTTTTGCTCTTAATTAAACATTCTAATTTTATTTTGTTAACACTGTTAACTGTTGTAACGGTGTTTTTTTAGATTGTTAGCTCCTATACAAACTAATCATGCTAATAAAGGAAAATTATAGTATTTAATTAGAAGAGAAGAATAGATAGCTACCAAACTAAAAATTTATAAAAACTATAAGTAACTGCAAAATGGTTTTCCTTAAAATTAAATATAATAAAAAGTGATTACTCAATGATGCATCATTAATCTTCTTGATAGTATCATTAAGAAGATAATTAAGAGCTTGAGCCCCAATCCCAATAGACATGAGCTGATTTGTCTTTCCAATAAAGATTTAATCCTTTTAGAATATCCAAAAGTGATGCAATTTTGTCTCAAAGCCGAAGTGTTTTATCCTCGTTTTCCAGTTTAATATTTCATTGTATACTGACAAAACTTAAAAGCGATGTCCCCTTTTGGTGGGTCATCACGGTAGTATAGAGTTTGGCACCTATTTTTTGTTTTTGGAACTTACTCCTCCTGTCTTTATTATAAGATCTAATTTAACTTTTTATTTGATCCTAATTATAAGACCCAATCTATTTTTTCTCTTATATTTATGCATTTTTTTCCAAGATAATCCTTCTAATAATAATAGTTTTAGACAATATACTTAATTAACAAGGATATTTTAGGAATGACAACACTTATTTATTATAAATAACCAACTTAACTTACTTCCTTAATCTCCTCAAATAAGTCAATTGGGTCTTATAATTAGGACCGGAGGAGTATTTTGTTTGGATCACAGCTCAAGCCCAACACGCATTTCTAGATTGAAGCTGCTTTCGAAAAAAATGGTAACAGAAGCTTAACCAAAAAAAAGGGTAACAGAACATTGCTTACAGGTGAACGTAGAAGTAGCTCTTAGGGGGAAAAAACTGCACAACATGCTCCTAAAATTATTTTCAGAAAATTGGTTAATTAATTACAAAATTTTACAATTAGTTAAGAATAGTAGGTTAAAAAATTAATGCTTTAGAGAAAATATATTATGCAATAAAACATACAGAAACTCTCATAATAAAGGCGGAAGGGAGTAGAAGCCAAACACTCAAGATGGGTTCATAGGTACTTGAATTGTTTTTTGGGAAAAAAGTTACTAATTGAAAGTTAGATTTCAAAATTTAATTTTCTTAATTGCAACATTACTATTAAATTTGCAATTATTTTGTGCATCAAAAAAAATTGTTACTCTTTCTCCTTTTTTTTTTTTTTTTGAAATTACTGAGAATTTAATTGTCATTAATTTGTTCTGTGACCACTTAACTCACATCCCCCAAAAAATCAACTCAAATAAGACGACTCCAAATTATAACATCATTAAACAAAGTCAATGTCCAGAACACACGGCATGAGATTATTGGAACATGTATGTAAACCAGAATTAAGTACACGTCATGCATCAGCTAGCGTGATTATTGGAAATGGATATAAACAAGCACAAAGACCACTCCATCACAGACATCCGAGGACAGATTTCCCAACAGTACTTATCCAAGTCTTCGTTTCACACTAAGAGACTTACTTGAAAATAGTGAAACCATAGTTTGTGATCGTATACCCACCATCTGCTACCAGGTTGTGGCCATTCACAAACTTGGACTCTTCGCTCGCCAAGAACAGTGCAGCCTCAGCGAAATCTTGAGGTTCAATCTTAGCACCTTTGAGAGGAGAATAAATATTATGAACCCCCTCATCATCAAGCCTGAAGAATTCCTTTGCCATCGGAGTCGCCACCACATATGGCGACACACAGTTCACTCGAATCCCGTGCCGGCCAAGCTCCACCGCCGTGCTTTTCGTCAGCCCTAAAACACCGTGCTTGGAGCTCGTGTACGCATGTGATGACAACCCACCTGTGATGCTACAAACACTAGCAGTGTTGATGATGTTGCCACGTCGTGCCGGAATCATCACCCTGGCGGCGTGTTTGGTCCCCAGAAACACGCCGGTGAGATTCACACTGACGACTTTCTCGAAATCTGACAACTCATTTTCCAGGATGTTGTCTTTGTTGTAATCTCCGAGTCCAGCATTGTTGAACATGATGTCTAGCTTGCCGTACTTTGAAACTGCTGTGTCCACTGCGTTTTCTACATCCTTCTCATTTGTGACATCGCAATGAACATAAGTGGAATCTGGTATGGTTTTTGAAACATTGTGACCTAACTCGTCATTAATGTCTGCAATTACCACTTTAGCCCCATGTTCCGTAAAGAGTCTAGCTGTGCACTCGCCAAGTCCTCTTGCCCCACCAGTTATCAAAGCCACCTTTCCTTCAAGCCTGCAACATTAATTCAAGCTTCGAGTACGTACTAATAAGATACAAAAAATCCTAGAAGTCATTAGATCAACTGCAAGACAGTTGTTTAAGAGCGAGCGGTTCAATTTGAAGTGGGTTAACATTCAACTTTCAATTAAGTAAAGTATAATAAACTTCCACTAAAAAAAGTTGTAATTAATTTCTTTTGGAAAAAGTTTTGACACAATCTCTTTCAAAATTTTTCTGCATAAACTTTTCATTTCAACTTTTTCGCCCAAAACCAAAGAATCAGGAAGCTAGACAGAAAATTATTGAAAAAAAAATCGAAAAAAATAATGTTCTCTCAAAATAAAGTTTCTCGAGGCTTTTACCTAGAGAAAATTTATTCTCAAAAGACATTTCAAGCACAGTGAGGATATACATACATACAATCATACACACACACACATATAGAGAGAGAGACGTGAAGTTCTAACTTTTGGTTACCTTCTAACGGCAGCTGGGGGAATCTGAGAGGCACTTGCCATGATGGAAAGAGGGTGAGCCTTCTTTGATGCTAGTTGATCTTCAACTGCAGACAAGTGAGTATATACCAACAAGAAAGGGGGGGGGGGGGAATCAGTAAATTAATATTTGTGGCGCTGATGATTAGTCAATATAAGGTTCAAAAGGATAAGATAAGCTCAAACTCATTGTCAAATGGGCGATCATTGATAAGGTGACATCGTGAATGTGAATGATAGTTAAGTTTATAAATGGTAAAAAAAATGTCTTCACGGATATGAAATAACTTTTAATTCTATGATTATATTGTTATAGATAATTACAAATATAATTGACATATTAATATATATATATATAAATAGGAAATTACAAACATACATAGCCATATGTATTATTATTATTTTTTTCATGTGGGTTTATAATTTAATGTTATTAAATGTTAATATTTTAAAAATAGAACACATAATTATATGTGATTCAAAGACTTGACATGATAGATATGAGTAACCTTACCTAAGTATTGTTTATAAATATATATATATAACCGGTTATATTGTCTATAATTTCTTTTAGCTTTCTTTCATCAATTAGGTACGTTGATATTGTTGTAAATATTGTAATATTTTGTGAGCATTCATAACCTCCCAAGATTCAAATAATTTAATGATAACTCTCACGAACATAACCTTTGTACCTTAGTTGCCTCCTCCATCCCTAAATCCAAGTGCAGGAACAATAATGTGAATTAAATACATCAGTGAAGCAGTATGAAAGAGACAGTTTTGTCTAGCCCTCTCATCCATATACACGTGGACAGCAACACCGTCTTAGACAAGGATTTTTCAACCACCACATACTTCCAAAACAGATTGGGAAATCCACTTGCTAGGTGCTTATGTTTTTTCTTAATTTTTAATTTGATACATATATATATTTTTATTAAATTTGTTAATTTTGCTCTATGAGCACTGTTGCCTTCTATACCAAGGATAATATCATTAATAAAGTTACACGGGTTAATGGAACTAACAAAACAAAATCAAAAAATTTGACCAAGAAATAAAAATTATAAATACCAAATTAAAAATTAAAAATATATGTGTACTTGCAAAATGGTTTTTCTATACAAATTAAAGATATTACAACGACATATATATGAGTGGAAATAAACTATATTAATAATGGATCTTCATTTAATAGAAATATAAAAGAGCAAGTTCAAAAATTTAAAAAAAATTGAGATAATTGGTTCAGTATGATTATTAATTTTATATTGGTATTTTTGGAGTTCTAATTAAATTTTCTATTAACTTTTCTTCTCCTTAGCTTTTTTAAGAGAATAAATCTAACTTATTACTTAAATATTAGAAACATTAAGGCTAAAGTACATTTTTAGTTTTTTAACTATATATAATATTTTAATTTGGCCCATTTACTTTAAAAAATATATTTTTAGTCCTTTAAATATAAAATTGTTGACAAAAATTATTATTGAGATCTTGAATGTTAATAAAATATTATCAAATTCTAACACATTGAATTTAATTCTCAAAGTAATTATGATTGTTATAAAAAAAAATCATTTAGGACTAATGCTTTTAGGGTTAAGAGCCTTAAAATATATTTTTCAAAGTTAAGGAACCCAATTGAAATCTTATATAAAGTTAAAGGACCATATATATAGTTTTGCCAAACATTAACGAAAAAGAGAACAAATGCATCAATCTCTCTATTGAAGTATATATCTTAAAAGAAAAAGAATACTTATGTCAAGTTTATTGTATCTATTATATCAAATTCTCTAATTATACAGGGCTATGTGTCCCTTTTTTTATTTTTTATTTATTTCATATGGATTTATAATTAAATATTAATAAATACCAATAGTTTAAAAGTAAGACGCGTAATCATGTGTGATTAAAGAACTTGACATAATAAACGTAAGAAACCTGATTTAAGTATTTTCCTATCTTAAACGGATATAACAAATGATGTTGAGTATAACTTATTTGTATTTAATTAATTGAGTATGTTAATAATTGATACTCTTTTGAGATTGTTGTCAAACTCAAGGTAGAAAAAAATATTGGTGTCAAAATCACGAGCGAGGTCAATTACACCAATGAGTCATCTGCTTATTTTCTAATATTATTAGTCATTTTCTAGTCAATTATATTATTATTTGATGTATTGTTATAGTCACGACATATATATCTTAAATTTTGAAAGTTATCTTCTATATTACTTTACATTATATTATTAAGAGGATTTAGTGGCTTGGCAAATGGTTAATTACATATTTTTTATATCAAGTTTTATTGACTATGAAATATCAATGCAAATATATCAATCTCTCGCATTAAGTCTTAAATTGATATAACAAATGATGCTATTTTAATACAAGATACTTTCAGAAGTATAAAATAGTAATTCCTCTTATTACTAGCATAAAAGCTACTTAGCTAATTTAAAAGATTAAGATAGTTAAATAAATTAGTTAATTTTAACATATGACATGATCTTCTTAAAAGTTAGCCCTATGTAATGTTAGATTATATATAGATTTATAAGCTAAGTAAATTAGTTTAGAAAAGAATGATGAATATGAAAAATAAAATAGATTGAGATATTATATTTAGAACAAAATGTATGGGACAAATGAAGGGATAATATAATTTTCTAATATTGTTGTAAAACTCACAAGTAAAGTGGATAAATTTAGAGGGTTGAAGTTTTGTAATGCCTATTTCTGCATTAAGTCTTTGATACATAGTAAGCATTATTTATTATTGAGTTGATGTGCAAATCTACTAATGAACCTATACTCAATGTACACTAAACGCCATATACTTTTTTCAAGTGTAAGCAGCTTTAAAATCGGTGAAAAAATGACAACACTGTTAAGTAGAGCTAACGTTCGTTAATTCTTTTTGGTTTATGCCAATGTGGTGTCCAGGTGTGATGTCCAGGTGTGATGTCTTATTCAGTCAAATTGGATATGTGTCATTGATTTTCAGATTTCATTGTTCCTGACCACTGTTCCGCTTTCTCAACAAGGATATAATGGTCTCAAATTCAAGAGGTCTCGAAATTTCCACCGTTTGGATGAAGACCTTGTTGAACTACTCCTCTAGCACCGCCTTCTCCGCAATGATCTGGGATCCCATACACAATAGGTCCGTGAAGCCACATCATCAAGGTTAATGTTCTTTGCTTCGGAGGTCAAAGACGAGCATGACGCTGTTTCTCACTCCTCATGTATTAAGAAGAAGAAAGATGCAACACCAATAAGAAACAATAGAGTATAGAGTAGAAGCATCCTCGATTTACTAGACAACTGAATCTTCTTCTTTTTTGAGGGATTCAGTCCCTTTTTCAGATCTACTAAAACAAAGAGAGAAGGAGGCATCGAAAATGGCAAGCTCAATAGCACCGATCGACGGTGTTGGAATCACCCTCGTTTCAGATCTAATGATGGATGTTGGAGGAGGGGTGATTGTTGGAGCTTGAGCTTGAGTTTCAGTAATAATGGGTCACCAAGTAAAACCATCATTCCTTATTTTAATCATGCTATGATCTTTGTTTCTTGGATTATCTTTATTTTGGACTTAAAACCATGTTCTCATCTCAATTGATTCATCGCTTAAAACTAAAATGGATTTTCATCGTAATGGCTGTTACAGATTTTCTTGTCACCTACACTCAGCACTTCTATAGATTTTATTTGCTTCCTCAACCACCATTTAAGATCTCTGTCGTGTGCCATAGGACATATAGAAATGGCTCCCTGCGTCTTAGCTCCCTTGACGGAAAGATAACATGGAGCAAGAGAAAAGAAGGGTCGGGAGGAGCCGTGGAGGAGAGAGTAATTTCAGGAAAAAAATTGTCAGGGCCCATAATGCGATTTATTATGTTTTATGATTTTATACAAATGCCATGTAGAATGATTATGTGTTGCTAGCTAGGACATATTAAGCCAAGTTAGCTTCCATATCAATATTTTCGGTCGAAACCTCTCTCTAGTAGTCGAAGTATCCTAAAATAACGGAAATGTCATTTTTCTCTCATTTTAAAGTTTATAGCTAATTTTGTGTAACAATTAATCTTCTAAAACCTGCTTTAAGTTAAACCAAGTCATTTAGTTGAAATATTAACCATGATAGAAAAAGAAAAAACCTTAAAATTATAAAAATAATAGTTAAAAAGAAGAAACTTGAATCACAAGCAATGCATTAGAAAATGCTCAACCAAACTAAGATGGTTTTAAAATAAAACATGCCTTTGATTGAACAGACATAACCATGTATATATCAATCTACAATTTGGGCCATGGACGTTCGAAATCCAGGAATAACATTCAAGCACAAGTTCAAACAAAAATCAACCGTTTTGAAACATATAAACTGATAAATCTCTCCTAAATAAGCTATGGAGCTTCATTGATCCAAACTTAATATTTTTAAAAGAGTGTCACATATAAATCCTAGAGGCCTCTGGCCTTCTAAAAGCACTCTCTTCAGAAATCATTAATTAAAAGTATTTAGTTTCAAAAACAAAGTAGATGAGTCTTAAGTGGCAACGTACAACATTACATCACATGATCAAAAGGGAAGAGGCTATACAAAATAACTCGGTAACCTATACTTTTGGAGCCTTCCTCAATGGTCCCACAATAGAATGTTTACTTGAAAACATTAGCAATCATAGGATGAGTCTGATGTATTTCAATATTGACATGTTAATTCGTGCACTTTTTCAGCTTTTATAGTGTGTTTATTGGTTATAAATTGCATTATTGATGAATGAATATTAATAAAGATTGAGTACATGAATTAATGACAAAAATGGTACAAATGTTATCACTTTCCTATTTTATAGATAAATGGTATTACAGGGTTTAAATTATTTTGCAGAGCATTTTGGTCATTTGGGTGAAACTAGAAAATCAAAATCAAATAAAAGGATTAGCAAATTGGCACTTAAGGATCCAAAATAATGCTATTGAAGGACCAGAGGATTTGAGAAAAGGCAGAGAAGGACCACAAAATAAAAATAGAAAAATGCAAGATGAGATGAAACGAT